TTTAAATTAGCCAATAACAGAATGGCTAATGCTGCTGCAGAGGCGTGGACCTGAAAGAGAAAGTTCTCTCTCATGTCCGCTCCTCTGTGACTGACATCAGGTAGCGGGCGGAGCATTAGCCAGCCTGCTATTGGGTATTTCAATTTTAAATAGCCAATAGCAGGCTTTGTTTATTTATGCCCACTGCCCAATGTACACATTGCATCGGGAGGTGTTTTTGGGGGGGGGGGTTTTCGATTGTTGGCCGACACTGGAATGACTTTGTGGGACTTTTATAAATTATTATTATAAAGTAATTGTCAACCATTCAAGTTTTGTTTTTTGTTCAATCAAAGGAGTTTTTGTTAAGGTGTTGTGTGTTTATTTACATTTTATTTAACCCATTAGAGAATGAGTAGGGGTATAAGTACCCCTTACTCATTCACAAGGGAAAGGGGTGGCATCTGGGTGCCCCCTTTATGAAAGAAGGTGCAGATGCAGATGAGCCCCCCTGCCCACAGACCCCCACGTCAGGGTCTGGATTAAGGGTCTGGTATGGGATTTTAGGGGGGACCCCATTTTTCTTTTTGGCGTTAGGGTTCCCCCTTAAAATTCCTACCAGACCTAAATGGTCTGGTATAAATTGACGGGGAACTACACGCTGTTTTTTAATTATTACATGGGGTCCCCCCTAACATTTCTACCAGACCTAAGGGATCTGGTAAGAATAGGGGGATCCCACACCGTTTTTTAAATTATTATTATTTCTGTGATCAGTTAGTGAGATTCACTTTTCTGTATTCTGTGACAGTTGTCAGATTCTTTACATTCGGGATGGAAGTGTCCACAAAGAAGCAGAAGCTGTTACAGAATAATACAGATCTCTCGGCTTCTTTCATTATTTACATTTTGTAACAATATTATGTTACTTTGTTTTCATTTGAGATACAAGTGCAGAGAAGCCAGAGAGTGGTAACTGACAGCTTTCCTGCTTGTTGTGTTTAGTTTCCGAATGAAATTCAGATGTATCCGAATTTCGTTATCAAACATTCAGATTCGTTATTCCTGTCATTCGGAAATTCGGATGCATCTAAATGTCCGAATTTACAGCATTTCATAAGAATTTCAATTCGGAATAATACAAATTGCACAGGTCTAGTCTGTATTTTTTTAGAAAATACATGTCCCTTTAAGAAAAAATATGGTTGAGACTTCCAGTAAAATGCTGAAATCTGCCATACAAGCTACTGCACAGTACAATGAAAGTTTGCCGAAAAGCTATTTTTCTTTAGCATGTGTAAATAGTTGGGAGGCAGTAGCCAGAGAAGTCACCTCCCTGAAATGAGTTTTTGCAGGTTGGGATGTCTGCACATGTACCTTGATAATCCATAGCACCATGTTTTACTTTTGTCTGTGTTTCAGTTGTGCAGTAATCAGCATCGGAAACTGCAGGCCATTACCAGCAACATCATGCAACATTTAGTGTTGTTCAGTCCCCCTCATTCTGCGATTGTAAATCCTGACTGGAAACTGCTTGAATGTGCCTCCTCTGTGCCCTGGTGCTGTCAAAGACATCGATAGAATGTTACAAAATCAATTAAAATGAAACTCTACTTCTGTTGAGGAAAATAAACTAAAAGTCTCGCTAGGCCAATTATACAGCATACGTTATTGCAGTTTTTCCTTTGGTCTGTTCTCTGGAAACAGACTGCTAAATATTCTGCCTGCTGTAATCAAACAACTAGTCCCAGAGTGGTAAAGATCGAAAACCAGTGTTGGCATTACATAGATATGCGTTCCCCGTGCCAGGTTTCTCACCAAAGATGAAAGGCCTACTACAGAAAACCTGAGGACCATCCATTGCTGTGGATGCTTGCAATCTGAACATAAAGGAAACTTTTCTGGAGTGCAACACGGAGACTGTCATTGCTGACTTCACTCTACAAATGCTGGTTGCCTGGGTGTCATGTTAACCCTGTTGCTTTAAATCTATAAGCCAGATGTTTGCAAAAAAAAAAGACTGGCTTTTTCCTAATTTTCCTGATATACTTACTTGCCGTAGGTCAGTGACTTAAAATGGAACTTTACATCGGTAGTAAAAATTTGCAAACAGGCTTTTCATTGCAGAAGAGATTTACTGAAGGGTTTATTCATAAAACTTCCACCTGATGCAATTCGCATGGTACTAGCGCCTCTAGATGGTGCTGAGGAGTATAGGAAACTCCTATACTCCTCAGGGCCATCTAGGAGCGCTAGTACCATATGTTTTATAAATCCGGTCAGTACACTATATGCATGGTGGGTTTCCTCTGGGTACACTGGTTTCCTCTCACACGCTGATTTCCTACTGCTGGTAGGTTCATTGGCTCCTGTCTAAATTGACCCCGGTATGTATTTAAGATATGGTCCTTAGATTGTAAGCTTCATGACGGCAAGGACTGATGTGAATGTGCACTACCTTCAGTTCAAAAAAAATTCTTACCTGCCTGTTCACAATGTACACTGAGCTGCACATCATATGCTGTACAATACCAACATCTGCTGAGATGAATGAACTGTTATGCATGCATGTGAGTTATGTCATCCTTGCCCAACCAATTAAGATGGCCAAAAATCCGGAACTCAAAAGAAGATCAGGCAAAGATGACGGCGCCTATGTGGGGAGCTCACGAATATCACATTGCTGGATGAAACGCGTGTATAGTTCAGCTTTGAGTTTCGAAGCTAGAAGGTCCGCATAACTAGTGTTGCAGGAAGATGAGAAATGCCTACCCTCATATTCCTCTTTTAAAAGGGTTAATTTGAAGTGCATCTATTAAAAAAAAAAAAAAAAAGGTTTTGATTAAAGTTGTGGATACTGTAGGGAACATTTAAAACTCCAGTCAAGTTTTACTGCTATAGCCTTACCAGGGAGATTCACCCCTCTATTTATCTTGAGGACCATTAATCAGAGTAAGAAAGTGATGGGAAATCCAGCTATTTCTAGAACAGAAGGTGAGGAGACATCACCTGAAATGGAAGCATGTGTTGTGGTGACAAGAAAGGGGGGATTTCCCCTCAAGTTAACCTCCTTGGCGGTAATCCCGAGTGTGGCTCGGGGTTATTTTCAGTACCATAAGCGCTAACCCCGAGCCACACTTGGGATTATAGCATAGTGTCTCTTATCTTGCCCCCCGAGCCGCGCTGTTTCCTCCGGCCGATGCCGGCATCTGTCTTCCGGGTTCCGTCCCTTGCAATCGTCCGCATCGCAAAGGGGTCGGAACCAGCGCGAATTAAAAAAAACAAAACGAAAAAAGAACCGAAAAAAAATAGAACAAAAAAAGAAAAAAGAAAATATTCAGACCGCCAAGGAGGTTAAAGAGGTTTCTTCTCTCTTCCAGTTGTGCCTCTGAAAAGTGAAAGAAATTCTTCCCAACATAACAGAAAAGAACCGGACAAGGAATTTAGCGATCCTCTTCTCCGGCCTTTCTCAACCATTTTACCTCTGAGGACCAGTTGAAATAATTTTAGGTTCCCAGGGAACCCCTGTTAAAAGTATAATAACTACAGCTCATGGTACATTAGTGTGATAAATAAGTTGAAGAGTTTAAAATAAAAGAATAAGCAATGTGTCGTACTTAACTCAACTGACACCAGGGCAGATCAAATCATTTTGAAAGTTAAGTACATTTCTTGAGAACTGCAGAAAATAAAATTGTGGCATCCTGTAACATTTGTGGTCAGTGGAGAAGTGACCTTTGCATTAGTTGTTAGTGAAAAATGTCCTGTGTGAATTGGTGGTCAGTGTCCGTGGGAGCTGAATCCACCATTGCTCATGAAACTTCTGGAGGAACCCTGGTTGAGAAACACTGCCCCACTCTATCCAAAACTGAAAAGTTTTGGCTTTAGATTTACATTAAGCTCCATGAAGACCAAAGTGACCAAACACGGTTCGAATACCAGATAATTCCTTCTGAATCAGCTAAAATTCGAGAGGTGGGTGGCCCTGTCAGCACCACAAAAGTTGATTTAAATATTTTCTGAATTGAGTGGAAATATCAGCCGAACTGTGACATCCTACCATATGCAGTCACAGTTCGGGTGTTCAGACAGCTGTGGGTGCTGTGCTGCCTAAACAGTGCGAATGGAGGAATCTATGACTTTCTCTTGTTCAGTTGGTGGTCTTATAAAGGAACTTTACCCATATCTTCAAAATGGCAACAAAGCCACCTTTAAAAATGTTTAGTAACAACAATCTACAAACACAAACTTCTAGATAATTGCCGCCTTTTTATTTTTTGCATACCTTTTTTCTCCAATTCCTCTGACAGTGGCCATTTTAACTAAGGGCAGGTTACTAGATCTCCCTTTATTTCCTGGAACTCTGGCACGTGTGACTAGGACATGTGACCATGTTATATATAGCTAGAGATAGATATATTCATGTTAACTGTTTCCCACTCTAACCAAAACTAAAAAAAATAATAAATAAATTGGCTAGAGTCAATCTTTAAACCATTAACAGTTGTGAACACCCCTAAAAGTGTTATGGTTTGTCCCCATTAGGAGCATGTCTAATGTGACAGTCCCAACAAATTAATATGCTCATTACTGCAGATAATAAATAGCAGTAATAGGAGTACAATAATTTTCTGTGATCTTTTAAAAATGGAGTGGAGCAGACAGGAAGAGGGGTGCTATTTCTCAGTGGTAAAAAGGATAATTCCTTTAACATAAACAATTTTTTTTCAAACATTTTGGTTACCACCCAGGACAATCTTCAAGTAAAAGCAGGACAAAACCCGTTTTTAACCAAGGTAACTTTTAGCATAGTAAAAGTTCTACATTTTATTCAATGTTACACCAGAAATTTTAAGTTCTACCAATTTTGTGCATTTTCATCAGTAAAAAAGTCAAATACATGTGGTAGATAAAAATGTTAATTCTCAACTACTTCGAGATGCATTTTTCCTGAAACAGCAAGGCAGAAATTGATTTCCTTATGTGTAAAATGATAATAGTCATGAAGAAAAAACATTTTCTTTTTGGAAATATACAGCATGTAAGGCAAGAGGTTGCTCATTATTTAAACTAGAAATGACAGAGCACATTCTCTGTTTGGTAAAGAAAACAATTTTCAGAAGTCAGTAAAGTTGTTACAAAAAAAAAGTTATTTTCCTTTATTTCTTTATTCAGAAAAGTGCTAGATGCTCTTGTGACTTGCTGACAAAGCAGAATTCTAAAAAGCAAGAGCCCGAAACAATGGAACTGTCTGTTTGAGCAGTGATCATGCCAATTATGCCACACAGGTTTTTAAAAGTTTTCCTATGACAGGCTCTGCAGTTGCGAACCTCATTCCCAACTTTAATAAGGAGTGATTAAACCAAGCAGAATAAAAAAATCCATCTCATCAAAGGTCCAGAATATTCCTGTAGTTGATCCTGAATATTGTATTGTCACATACTCCTTCAGGCAGAGGTATAAATCAGGGATGATTGCAGGTCTAACCGTTTGCTTGGAAAGATACATACGGATTGAAAAGCAGAAATAATGGGAGATTTCAGGACATTAAATCTACTGCTGCCTGCAGTCGGTAAACAGTCATCTCCTGAAAAGACTTTAGAAGGAATGCAAAACTTAAACTGGGAGGATTGCCGCTCCGCAGTCTTCTGGTTCCGTATAGTAAGAAGAGTTTGTGTCTGAGTGGTGAATTGCGAGAGCTTCTTTGCTCTCCAGATTTGGCTCAATTATTATAGTCTTCTCAAATAATTTCTTTTTACACGTTTCGGGACAATTCTGCACGTAGATGACTCTGTTGTAAGCTTTAAGTCTCTTCCATAGCTGGATGTACACTTTACATTGCACATACATAAACAAGAGTCCTCCGGTGAAGCCAATTGCTACTACGACTAATTTAGTCCAAAACGGCCATTCAAGGATACCTATACAGGCAAAAGAGACACAAAGTCAATACATATATACCATGCTTTTCGAATAACAGGTAAAACCTATAATAATAATAATCTTTTTAAATTGTTTGAAAAAAGCAAACATTAAATTACTGCAAGCAAAAGCCTACTAAGCACTATAATGCTGTCAGAAGGATAGTGCCTGGGGCTGGAGTTTAAACTATGGTGACAGTTGTGTAATGCTTAGGAGGGACGTCCATGAGCTAGAGAAAGTTCAGAGAAGGGCAACTAACTTAATAAAGGGGATGGAGGGCATGAGTTATGAAGATAGACTACAAAAATGAAACATGTTCTCCTTAGAGAAGAGACACCTAAGAGGAGACCTGCAATTGTAATTTACAAACTCATCCATGGGGAACGTAGTATAGGGAATAAACTATTTAAACTAAGAACTCTGAGACAGACACGAGGGCTCAACTAGAAGTTGGATGAGGTGTGGAATAATCTCAGTTTTTCCTTTTACTTTTCAGAGCAGTAAAAATTTGGAATTCACTTTAGCAGGCAGTTGCATCAGCAGAAAGCATTGACAGCTTCAAAAACACTTAGATGAGTTCCTCAGTTTACATAATATACAGGATTATGGGAATTGTTAGCAATATGTACACACACACCTTGAACTAGATTGACCTATGTCTTTATTCAAGCTTACCAACTATGTAACTTATTTGGATTAATCAAGTGACAGATTCTTCTAATAAAGTGGACCTTTACTAAGCAGAAAACATTTTGTCGTAATGCATCCCCTCTCCCCTTCCACAATGTAAAAAAACTTTTTGTGTGTGTTTATTTGGCTTTTTTTCTTTGTTTACATTCCACTTGCCTTCATCTCCATTCTCGCCTAGTCAAGAATGACATGAACCCTGCTCCTGCGGCCTCCTGGGATATTCCCAGGAGCCCTCACACATTGCGGGAGGAAGGACCTGGCTCTGTATCATCAGGGAGGCTGGCTATTTCTTTCTGGTTCTCGCAGGTCCCCCCAATGATGCGTTCATGGAAGAAAGGGAAATGGCGGTGCTGGAACATATACACCGCAGCAGAGTGCAGGATTACAGTAGAAAAATGCTGAATTTTCTAGGTGTATCCCAGGATACCCCATCGAAAAAGGTAAGAAGAGACCAATAAGAAAATTACACAAGTACACGAGGGGAAGGTGGGTAGGGCTGTATATAACAAAATGCTACCTGTGTGCCGGTTCGATTTGCCTGTTTCTGCTATTCATTTCATTTCAAGCATGATTGTTTTTTTTTAATCAGACATGGTCTCACTAACATCCGTCCTAAACAGTTTATGATGTTGAGTAACTGTTAGCAATTTGACACTGGAACAAGCCAGCCCACACCGGGCTTGATACATCACGTCTGCATTCAGTAGTTTCTTGTGAAATTAAAGTGATAATCTTTTCACAGAAATACTTGCTTGCTCTGGTTTTCATTAAAAAAAAATTACATTTGTTTTAGAAACTGCCAAATACTGCTATGTACTCAATAGTCATGATACTGAAATGTATTGCATTTTGCAAATTCTCTCGGAAAGAGAGGGCTAATAACTAATAACTGGAACAATTCAATTCATCCTTCAGTGTGATCGGAAGAAACAATTCAAAATTGTCTCAGCAATCTCACCTGCAAAATGTATTACAGTGGTTATAACCATTATTATAAACATTTACAGGGTTATTCACAAAGGGGTGAAGAGTTTGGAGAAGGCAGGAGAAGTGAACAATTTAGGCCTAAATAGTGGATTTGGAAACATTTTCCAATTCAGCTTACTTTCCAGTTCAGCTATGTTTGCCTAGATTGTTCACTTCTCCTGCCTTCTCCAAACTCTTCACCCTTTTGTGAATAACCCTGTTAGACTGGTTACAATACAGATAATGGACTGTGGATATTGTGTTTAATGTTTTTATGCACCCCCTGCTGGTAAGATTCATTCTTTCTATTTGTCACTGAAACTGTAAGTGATGAGAAATCCATAATTCTGAGTTGTCACTACAACAGGAGGGGAGATTCCTAATCTGAGGACACTTATTCTGGTGACAACTGTCTAAGAGTGATTCTCTTGGAACACTACAGTTAAATCTAAGAAATACATTTTTACATGGCCTGCGATAACTTGGCCTGGGAGAACAGATAGCCCATTAAATAAGCTATGTCAAATGTGGACATTTTAAGATAGAATTCATAAGCCAATGCATCTAAGAACCAGAGGACATGGAGTTCCAGTGACCACAACAGAGCCTACATGGCCAAGGATTTGTGTCTCAAGGTTGCGGGTGGCTATTACACCTAACAGCCATTCAGTAATGTTTCAAGATATCTATACTATACACCCAATGACTTGGAGGGAACTTTAAGTTTTTATCCGCCATAATTTTCCTCTAAAATAGAGCTGAGACTGTACATGGAAACCAGTTAAATAAGGCGATTCAATGGGTCAGTTTGAGAGCGAACCCTTGCATGGAGCAAGAACATGAATCAATACAAACACAAGAGTATTGCAAAGTAACACTAATACACAGAGAAAACGTAGCTAAAACTGTGGTAAACTTTTTGCAGCAAGCACAGATGGCATTAACTCCAGAAAAAAACTTGGATATTTTTGGAGTGGGTAAGGATTACAGCCTCTGTCTGGCTTTTAGCAATGTCCTTGCTCTCAACTGGAAGTTATTCTGCTGATTTTTGTTGATTTGATCGGTGTCAGGCAGAACAGGAATCGATCAAGAATCTCTCCAATTAAACCCAGTATTTCTAGTAGAGTGGGGAAGGGTTAGAATCTGTTTATGTTGCCATGTCCCCACTTGGGAAAGTCTCTTTCACTTTTTGTCTAGTTTAAAAGGTAGAACAGGAAAGAGTTATTACTAATGAGATGTCAAGGGGCCCCGTTTCCTATTTTACACTGGCCCTCAGAGAAAATAAGCTATGTTCATGGCAATTAACTCTAAGCATGGCTGATTGGCCAATCTAGTTACATGAATACACATATAGGCAGGAGAAGTGAACAAGATTTATTTATTTTTGTTCTGGTGGAATCCATAGAGAGGGAAAGTTGCCTAAAATGCCCATAAAACACAAAATCTGTCCCCTTAACATAAAAATAATGCAAGAATTAGGCCCCTTAGGCACAAGTTCAAAAAATTGGGTCCTTTTAGCTCAAAGCAGAACAATGGTCAAGAAAGAGTTTGTTAAAACACAAACAGTGGCACCGGCGTTATTTCTGCAGCCCATGTTTACTATAACTTCTTCAGGTGCCTGGGATTGGTACACTCATCAAGGATAGGTTCAAGGCCTCATTAACACTGCACTGTCTCTGGGTTTACTCGTCCATGCGGCATGCACGCCCGTAACGGGCCGTTCACAGGATCTGAGCACGGACACCCGGACCCGAACGGATGTGCAGTTTGGGTGTGCGTATGGCCGCATTCTCCTATAGGGAAGATAGGCACACAGCACTTGCCCCTCCCGGGAACACCTGAGATGGGCGTGCACGCCGCACGGACCTGTACGCCCCGAGTTAGCGCAGTGTGAATGAGGTCTAAATCCTTGTCAAACAGGGGTATTTCAATACAAGTGCTAGATGTGCTTAATGTTTATTACTTTAATGATAACTAGTGATGGGCCCCCGTTTTCGGTTCGTATTCGAACACCAGAACGACCGAAAACGAACTTGAACCTAATGCAAGTCAAGCGAGCGCAGCCCCCCCTCCCACACCAGGCCACATGCCGTCGGAACTGGGAGGGTGTCCATGTGCAGATGGGGACAAGGGCCTCGTCCCCACAACACTGACCCGGTGGTTGTAGGGGTCTGCGGGCAAGGGGGCTCATTTGCATTGGGCTACCCCTTTAATTAAGGGAGCACCCAGATGCCTCCCCCCTCCCTTGTGAATGAGTAAGGGGTACTTGTACCCCTACCTATTCACTAAAGGGTTAAATAAAATAGTTATTAAAAAGTCCAGACTTTTGATAAAATCCTTTAATTGAAAAACAAACCCAAAAGACATGTTTTTGACAAGTCTTTCATTAAAAAAACAAAGATGGATCCACCGACGTAATCCATGGTCAATCACGGCGTCCAGCGTTGTTGTCCACGACGACGACGAAATAAAACAAAAAATAAACAAATTTTAAAAAAACGCCGGCCGCGGTCCCGTCCGTTGCCGACGACTCCCGCCGCATAATGGCATTTTGACAGATGCCGGCAAAAACAAACAATTGGGCGGAGCCAGCGGTGACCGCTAGCTCTGCCAAATTGTGTAGTTTGCCGGCATCTGATTAGGCGAGACATGATTGGGCAGAGTCATCATGACAGGTCAGGTGCAAGTCTTTAACCAATTAGAGCTCCGGAGGCCTCAATTGCAGTATGGGATGTTGCGCGGTCAAACAGTTCGGCAGACCCTCGAACGGCCAATGTTCGATTCAAACTCATGTTCGAATCGAACCGGCGGACCATCCCTAATGATAACAGCCTAACTGTGAATGTAAACTTCTTTTTCTGTTTGTGTTATGCACTTTGATATGTTATTTTGTGTTTATATTTGTAAGAGTATATGAAGGGAGAAGATAAGATATGGATTTATATTAACAGTGGTCTGGGAAAAAATAAACCTGGTTCGTTATTTACATAAATAATATGAAGACATAGGGTCATGTTAGACAAGCGATCCAGTCCTTTTACAGACCACTTCCTTGTCCTATGATCAGTGAGATGTTGCTCCACCACGAGCAAGTGCGATTCTGCAGTATTCTGGTAGGAGGGATAATCCATTAGAAAAACAAATGCTTGATGATACTGCAGCTGGGAAAAGTTGACTATCTGACATGGCCCACAGCATGACCAAATCATGTTTTCCTTGTTTAAAAAAAATAAAATGCAATCTTACTTAGCCACCTTTGGTATATTCAATAAAGGCAGAAAGCAACATGCAAAGGTTCAGTAACCTATAGAGACAAACTTCAATTTATAAACAGTTCATCTGACTTCATTGTATGGAAAACTATTGGGTTGCTTATTGATGTTTGTGCTGTTATACTAAACGAGGATGCTTGGGTATTTCTCAGTCATTCCTTAATTCATTCATAGTTGTCTGCTAACTAAGCCCACTAAGTGAGTCTCATACATACCTGTGGTTTGGCCCAGCTTGATCTCTTCGGCTGTTCGGTCAATAAGAACATATAATGACCAAACAACACAGGTGATTGCAATGATGTGGAATGTTACAGAACACATGATCTTCCTCCGTTCACTTGAGGTCATCTGCAGCTTTTCCCACTAGAATAAAAAAGAAAGTTTCAAAGATTCACAGGATCCTTATATTCAATGACTTGCAAGTTATGATATTCCAGCTGCTGTATTCCACAATTCCCATGACCTTTTGACTCTGGTATTTGGCTGCAATAAAGTTTATTGAGATTAATGTCTTCCTAAATCAGACCTACCCCCCCCCCCCCCCCCCCATTAAAAAATGCTGAACTAAACTAAAAAAAAACTAAGTAAAAAAAAGTTGATTTATATACAGCATTTTGTAAAATGTGGGCTACTCTGTATTCCCTGGGGTCTCGCTGAAAGGATAATGACGTCATCCTTGCCTAGGCATTAAGGATGCAAGACATGTGTAAGGGAAGTATACTGTATCATTTTTAACTCCCAGGTTTTTTTTTGTTTTGGCATGAGGAAGTGGGTCGTGGCTAAATAAGTGGCCCTGCATTTTTAGCTCTTTAAGTGAAACTCCAGGTAAACAGTGAAATGCCCAGTTGAACTATATATCTGTGAAATGTCTTGCATGGTAAATTACTTGCAACTGTGTTTAGATAGTATTGTAATTCACACCTCTCTGCCACACTGCATAGCCAGTAAGATGACTACGCTCTTGCTTGTTTTAGTATTTCAGCTTCCTCTGTCACATCGTAGCACACTGTACAATGAAATAGCATAATCCCACTTGCAATTCATGGTCCAGTGAGCGGGTTGGTGACACAGGAAGCAGCAAAGCTGAAACAGAATACTGTTGTCAATGGCTTGCCTGTGCCACCTGCCAGAGGTCACTAATTTACAAAGAAAAGAATTAAAACATCTTTTGGCAAGCATGTTTCCATACATGCAGTTTAACTCTGTATTTTCCGGTTTGCCTGGTGGTCGGGTGTAATATCATAATTAAAAGGGTACCTTTCAATAGTGTCCAGACTGACGTAGCATGTCTATGAATAAAGGGCCAAAAACCGTAGAAAAAAAATCAATCTATACGATTTAGGCCAGCATATAAAGGTGTAAAAACTAAGCACCCAGCATGGGTTCCTAATGACTGCTCCCTGACACCTATGGCTTATATAGAGGATTGAGCTAAATGGCTCAATACACATGGGAACTATGCAAAGCATTTGTTTAGCTTAGTGTGGAACTGCTACTCTGTCTGTTGGCACTGATGGTACCGCCATTTCCCCATTAATATCCTCCCCAGACATGGCTCTCTGATAGAGCCCTAAAGTTAAAATCTTATTATAGCCAAAACATATTTTTTTGGTTTTGGATAGAATGGACGAACACAAAAAGGTCTGGCAATTTTGTCTTCCTCTGTGGCCCCTCTAAAGACATTCCCCCCCCCCCTGTCCCAGTGGCACCTATATAACATATTGGGGGTATGCGTGTCACTGAGACAGAAGGCACAGACACCAATACAAACACTGTCAGACATTCTAGCCCTTATTCACTCTGCTAAACTGTGGTGTGTGTTTTTATTTGACCCATTTGAAGTGATTTCCCTTCATATCCTGTCATGACCACAAGTCAGGGAAATCTCCCCAAAGAGGGACACAGGAAGCAATAAAATTGGTGGCCTTTCTCTGTTCCATCTAAAATGAAATAAAACGTTGGATTGTAAGAACAGAGATGCTATGTTGTGATTTTCTATAAAATACAAAACAAAATGTACACAAAAGCTTGAAAATGTTAATTTTTTCATTTAATCTACAGGTGAAACTCGAAAAATTAGAATATCGTGCAAAAGTTCATTTATTTCACTAATGCAACTTAAAAGGTGAAACTAATATATGAGATAGACTCATTACATGCAAAGCAAGATCATTCAAGCCGTGATTTGTCATAATTGTGATGATTATGGCTTACAGCTCATGAAAACCCAAATCCACAATTTCAGAAATTTTTTGGCAGTGTGGGCAGGTGCCAAGTCCTGCTGGAAAATGAAGTCAGCATCCCCATAGAGCTCGTCTGTGGAAGAAAGCATGAAGTGCTCCAAAATCTGCTGGTTGACGGCTAAGTTGCATTAGTGAAATAAATGAACTTTTGCACGATATTCTAATTTTTCGAGTTTCACCTGTATATGTAGTGTCCATCCAGTCCTTAGATTTAAATAAACCCACCACACAGAACAGTCATGCCTAGCAGGGGAGGGAACAATAACTTTCTCTGCTCCAGTTTCACTTTCACCTACAGGTCTCCTCCCCCCACCCTGTGACTGGACAGTGAAAGAGAAGCAATATACTGATGAGATCATCTCTCTACAGCCTCCTATCAGCATGCTCCTTGCACTGTAACAAACCCTACTGACTCCTTGTGGTGCTTCTCCCCTTTGTGCTCGGCTGTACAGGGACTGAGAAGGCTGATGGCAAGTAAAATGTAGGTGCTTACACTGATGCATATTAAAGAATAATTGAATGATGTAATAATGAGTACATCATGTGTTTTTTTTTATCAGCCTGGAGTTCAGCATTAGTTACTTGTTCTGTAATCTTAGACCAAAGAACTGTGACTAGCTACTGTATTATTAACTCTTCCAGCAGGACACCTTTCTACTGTCTTACTCCCTTGTCTCTCATTCTGCAAAAGAAAAAATTACACTTACTTTTCTTAAAGGCTTTAATTTGGTTTCCATAATGAATCCAAACTTGCAAAGTTCACAACATCGTGTATCGGAGCTCTTGATCCATTGCTGGAGGCAAGCCTGGTGCACAAAGTGAAGACTTCCTGTACAGTGACAGGGTGTTATCAGAGGGCTTTCATCATCACCTTCACAGTGACATATCCTGAATTAGAAATAAGACACTCAGTGTAAAGGAATCTGTTATTGCTGTCGCCTTTTCTAAGCTTAAACCTGTAAAATAGAAAATTCAATATAAATGTGGACAAAGTAGTCCCTGTAGTATACCATCTACCGTCAAACCCTAAATTATGCCCAATTCCAAAAAGGCCACTCCTTTTGCAGAAACTAAAAGCTGGTATTTGTGGGGAGTTATGTGCTTACAGGCGGTGTACACAAATAGGGAAAAAGCGTATTTTCACTGTTGCAGTCAAATTTGAGAAAACCCCACTATACGTTTGTTATGTGTTCCCATTCACACAGCATACCATATAATAATAAATATTTCTTACCTTTTAGATGTATCTTTGGAGGATGCCTTTGGGCACAATGCAAGCTACCCTAAACAATTTCAAAGGGAGTCTGTCCCCAAGCCAAAGGGACAAAGACAAAGAGTTTCCCTTCATTAACATACAATGCAAGAAGCCAGGCTTCTCAATCTTAAACCCATTGTGAGAACAGACAGTGTTCAAATCTAGCTTCCACCCTACAATGAGATTTGCCAGAACAATACAGACAGGGTTATTCAGTTTTGGAGTTTGCAGAAAAGACAGAGTAAAATGTTAAGGAACACTTTAAATAATTTTTTCAAGTGATTTTATGTGAATGGGAACAGGTAACAAATATAAAATAGGTGTTATCCCAATTTGGCTGTGCATGCAACATCAAAATGTTCTCCTTTAAATGTAGATATGGTTGGAAAAAGGTAAACTCCTATCAGGTTATGTTTTCTGGCCGTGTCCTGCTGGGAAAATTTCTCTTATTTTCTACTCCTGGAGACACAACGAGAAATTAGAGGAAAACAGAATTCACATTCTAGAGAGCCGTCACAGGAAGAGGTGTCCCCATTGAAGGATTGACTCACCTCTTGGTCTGGGCACAACTCTATCCTTTGGATTCTCCCCTCACTCTGTTTCTCTGACAATGGTCACCAGGACAAATAACAGGATGCTTTTCCCAGCAGGAGACACAGACAGCAATAATTAATTCTGCACAAAGGGTCTAAACCTTCCCTACTCTGTCCAAAACATATACATCAGGTCTTGGAGAATCAGTTTCTAGGTTATAAGGCAAAATAATGGGTGAATATTAGTTATTTATTTTTAAGGGTGCAAAGTGGTGGAAACAAAAACTTGTCAATTGCATTGACTGTTTTGTGTTCTCCACCAGCATTAAATCTATTAGACAGTAGACCATTCTGGTGTTTTACATGTTTGCAGAGAGCGGTCAATTTCTTATGTTTTCTAGCATTACAATGACATAAGGCTCAATTTGCTATGCAACAAACATTGTTTGCCATGAAGACCATTATTTTCATCAGTGAGAACCTGTAAGACCTGAAAGTTACAGTCACATGACTGAAAATAAAGATTGTTATGGCAGATAACATGTGCATTAAAAACAAGTTAACTCAATCAATAGTTAAAAGGCTATCTAAATCCAAGAACAAAAATGTGATATATTGCAGCTTACCAGTTCTCAGATCAGTGGTTCCCGAATTACAAGCCTTCAATTGCCTTTAACCACCCCTCGGGCCCCTGTTGCCATCACTGATACCAACAATGGAGCATTATTCTTTCCACTGAAACCAACAATAGGGCACTATTCCTCTCAATGAAACCAACAATGGGGCAACTATTCTTCTCACTGACACCAACAATGCGGCACTAATACTCTCCCCGATGAAACCAACAATGGGGCAACTATTCCTCTCGATGAAACCAACAATGGGGCACTACTACTCTCCCCACTGAAGCCAACAATGGGGCACTACTACTCTCCCCACTGAAGCCAACAATGGGGCACTACTCCTCCCACTGAAGCCAACAATGGGGCACTACTCTCCCCACTGAAGCCAACAATGGGGCACTACTCCCCCCATATTATTTTCATCAGTGAGAACCTGTAAGACCTGAAAGTTACAGTCACATGACTGAAAATAAAGATTGTTATGGCAGATAACATGTGCATTAAAAACAAGTTAACTCAATCAATAGTTAAAAGGCTATCTAAATCCAAGAACAAAAATGTGATATATTGCAGCTTACCAGTTCTCAGATCAGTGGTTCCCGAATTACAAGCCTTCAATTGCCTTTAACCACCCCTCGGGCCCCTGTTGCCATCACTGATACCAACAATGGAGCATTATTCTTTCCACTGAAACCAACAATAGGGCACTATTCCTCTCAATGAAACCAACAATGGGGCAACTATTCTTCTCACTGACACCAACAATGCGGCACTAATACTCTCCCCGATGAAACCAACAATGGGGCAACTATTCCTCTCGATGAAACCAACAATGGGGCACTACTACTCTCCCCACTGAAGCCAACAATGGGGCACTACTACTCTCCCCACTGAAGCCAACAATGGGGCACTACTACTCTCCCCACTGAAGCCAACAATGGGGCACTACTCCTCCCACTGAAGCCAACAATGGGGCACTACTCTCCCCACTGAAGCCAACAATGGGGCACTACTCTCCCCACTGAAGACAACAATGGGGCACCACTCCTCCCACTGAAGACAACAATGGGGCACTACTCCTCCCACTGAAGACAATAGGGCACTATTCCGCTCACTAACACCAACAATGGAGCACTACTCCTCCCACTGAATCCAACAATGGGGCACTACTCCTCCCATTGAATCCAACAATAGGGCACTATTCCACTGACACCAACAATGGGGCACCATTCCTCTCCCCGACACCAACGATGGGACACTATTCCTCTCACTGACACCAACTATGGGACACCATTCCTCTAACTGACACCAACGATGGGACACCATTTCTTTCACTGACACCAACGATGAGGCACTATTCCTTCAACTAAACCAACAATAGGGCAGTATTGCTCTCACTGACTCCAAAGAAGGGGCATTTTTGCTCCTTCCATTAACTATAGATGCTTGGCATTTTCTTACTCTCATTGCTCATCAACTCAGGGCACTTTTTACTCTCACTGATGCCTTGGCATTTCTATTTCCACCAGCTACAGTCTGGTCCCCCTTAAGGTCGTGAAGACAGTAAACTGCTGGGCCTTTGTTTAGAAAGTTTGAGTACCCCTGCCTTAGATGTACTGGCTGCATCAGTTTTCTTTTTTCAGTATGAGAACATTTTCGGCAAGTACAAAAAACATATTGATCTTGCCAGAAATGCAGTATCATTGTGATTTACTCTGACCTGAACTAAAAGTCCAAACAGCATTATTTTCTTTCCTAGTTATCTTCTGTAATCTACTAATCCTCCCCTCCTCCCTTGAAATGAAGATAATGAGAGGAAGACTTGTTTGTAATTCAAATCAAGAGAGCAGGATAATCAGGATAACAACTGCTAATATAGCTACATTCAGGTCCACAGGTTGCCTGCTCACAGAAAATACATATTCTGGGCGCCTAGAAAAGGATCACCGATTTATTTAGTACTGTCAAGGCTAGACAAGAGCAATTTGGGAGATGTGTCCTGCTGTTATTGTCAGCATTTGTATGCAGAGTTTTGCTTTTTCTTTAAAAAAAAAAAAAACAGGTACAAGCTGATGGCGGGAGGTGTCAAAGGATAGCCTTTTCTCAATGCCTAGAAATAAGCAATCACAGTGTGGGAACTGGGACATCACAGTTTCCAAAATTCCCATAATCCAATAATACAACAATCTCTATGAGAGTCATTAATTTTCTGGCTAGAAGCTGTAGAATGGGAACAGAAGCTAGTCTTGCTTCTACCAGACAATGAAAAGACAATTCAGTGCAGAATAAGGAAGATTAAGGCCTGGTTCACACCTGGGCGTTTTACAGCGCGTTCCTACACTCTGTAAAACGCTCAACATGTGAAAACCAATGATTGCCTGTGGGCATGGTTCCCACCTGGGCGTTTCACAGCGTGTAGGAAAGCACTACAAAAACGCCCTATGCCCAAAGAAGTACAAAGGGCTTCTTTGGGGCGTATTTGCCGCGCGTATCCATTGAGATACAGCCAGGTAGCCCTCGGAAACTCGCGTTTGTCGCGTTTTTTTACCGCGACAAACGTGCATATTCAATACGCCTAGGTGTGAACCCAGCCTAAGCGTCTTTGTGATTGTCTTTTTGATTTTTCTTTGATCAAGGGAGGAGGAGTATATGCTTTACCACAGTAAAAACAAAAATACTTTTTTGTTATATGCTATGCAAAGTAAACATTAGGCAATGAAGCTATACATAATACATCCTCCAAGAATTCCACAATACACAAATGTTGAAAAAATAAATAGAAAACCAGTAGATCAGTAATGTTGGACTGTCTGAAATTTTTGGATATCTGCTATCCACTCCACCTGAAGTGGATGATATTACATACTAGTATAGCCCACAAAGTCATGCTTCCACTGTGTATAGCCAGGAGCTCCTGGGCACCAACATATACAAGTTACTTGATGTAGAAGAACTAATAACAGCATTTCCAATTTCTCCTAAGAGCTTTTTCAGACGGGCAGTCCGATCATGTCGGCCTGCCAGTTTTTCAGGTGGATCTGATCAGGAGCTCAATGTTAGACTATGTGCAGCTGGATCTAAATGGACGCGGATTCGTTTACATCCGATTACCCCCGACTCTGGAAAACCAAGCATAACGGAGTTTCATTTTGGAGGACCCGATTGTGACGGATTGGAGGTAATTGGATGTAGATGGACACAAGTCCATTTCCATCCGATTCCCCATAGCCCTAACATGGGTGCATTTTCGCAAAATGAAGGAAAAAAACTGTACGGACACAGATATCACAGCGATGATATCAATTTTGAACTGCCCCAACCAGGCATCCATGTGAAAGGATCCTTAGTCGACTACAACATTTTGCTTTATGTTAGTTACAGAAGGCTACAGAATACTCTGTTCATTTGTATTACATTCTTTTTACTACACTGCATATTGTAGCTAGTTCAGGGTAAAAGATATAAGACTGCCTAGTTCAGTTAGCCTTTACCTTCTGGTGCCAATTAATTTGATTTTGTTCCACCAAGTACTAAAAAATACTACTCTTTGATCAGAATACAGTTGAATGTTATTAATAGGTCTTTTATTTAAAGCAAGTTATATTTTGAAGTGTATCTAAATCCAATAACAAATATCTTACATATCGCAGCCCACCAGTCCTTAGATGTGATAATTGCATTTGTTTTCTTTTTAAAAGGTTTTTTTGTCTTTACCATATGGAGTACCATATGGAGAAAGCGTGTTGGCACACCAGAGCAGGAAATGTATTTGGACTACAGAACAACCCCTCCTCATCTCCATAACTTAGAGGGGAGGTGTAGTTTGCAGTGGTGAAATGGCAAAGGCTAATAACACTGCAGAGTACAGTACACAGGAAATCCCTAGATTTCTGGCAGGATGACCAAGTAGTTATTGTGCAATTATCGAACAAATAACAAAATATTAGTGGTATATTTAGCAGACCAAATAAGAGTTTTTGTTAGGGTTCACATATACTTTAGGGTTATAGACTCTCTAAAGGATATCTGTCACTTCTGACCTCTTTCTGAATATGCCAATGCCCTGGCTGTCAAGCTGATCTGGATCAAGTAGGTGTAAGGTCTGAACTCCTGATCTGCCTGCTTGTTCAAGGTCAGTGACCCAAAGTATTGAGGCCAATAGATCAGCATGCCAGTCAGGCAACTAGCTTTTTTAAAAGAAAAGGTCAGCGCAATGGCAGACTCCATGTTTCTCTAAGCACTGGTTTCCTTTAAAACCAGTAAAAGCACAAATGGAAAAAAAGCAGAGGTCACAATTAATGTTACATAAAGCAAGAACATAATACATCTAGCATAGTCAGTTGTAAATATTTGCAAACAAATATTGACAAGAGAAAAAAAAATTGTTTTGCTGTGAGCAATCCAGAAGTAATCTGAATATCTGTCAATATAACTTCTCTTTCATCACATTTATGAGTGAATTTAGAATGAATATATGGGAGGAAAGAGGAGATCAAGCAGCAGATGGAACGATTAAGCCCTGCAGCAGATCTTTATTCAACAGCACACATTCGAAATAGACATCATAAAACCATGTTAGGAAGGTCCTTTTTAGAGATATCACCATACATGCCTGATATTCAGATTAACAGAGATTTACATATTAATATTAAAACCTTTTAGGAGTTCGTGGTAACAGCCAATTGAAAAGCCATCCAAGCCCCGCCTACACTGGGCTACTTTCAACTCTGCCAGAGCAGGGTACTCTCCACCTGCTATTGATTTGTGCTATTTTGCCAACACCCTGAGCACAGCACAATGCAGGTGGGGCTCAGACAGCCTCTTAAAAGTCCATCTACGTGACCCCTAAATAAAATAGGCTATAGTAAATAGCTAAATATCTTTCTAAAAGCTACAAAAGATGCAGTCCCAAATAAAGGGGATTTCTAGGTCATATATTTGACAGCTGATTCCCTCTCCTTGTATTATCTAAGCAGACTACAATGTGGCCTTCCAACTATAAAAAAGCCCAAAGGGTAACATTACAGCTAAATTGCAGTCACCAACAGGTAGTCAAGCAGGAGAGAACTGGGAATCGTGTGTGCCTGTACAAGGTTTAACGGGGAAGGAGTTAGGAAGGGCAGGTGAAGCTATGGTTCTATTTCAATTTAACCAAAACTCCTTTACAAATCAAAATGACCTGATATCTACATGTAAAACATAAATATGATGTTGATGCAATTTTATGCAATGCAGACATTGCCAATGAAAGGCTGTGATATTTTTGTTATTTAAAGAGTAACTGTACTTTTAAAAACACATATGTCCAGGGATACCAAGCAACTTAAAAGAGAACTATGGGGTAACCTTTTTATCCCATAGTTCTCTTTAGGTTATTAGCATATGTCCTCCCGTGACCCAAAGCTCAGTATATAGCGGGCTATTGTCCGCTATATACTGAAAGTGCAGCAGCCGGGGCGGATCCCGACAATACTGTTGAGATCCACATAGCTGTCTGTTTGACAGCTGGCTCTGCCTATCTAGGGCAAAAGCCAGCTGTGCCCACCCCCTCCCCCATCCATTCTACCAGTCAGCACTGGAGGATCGGAGTGGGGAATCCCTGTGAGGAGAGGTGACTGACAGTCATCGCTCTCTGCAGGGAGATGATCGGGAAGTGTAATTCACTCACCCCATAGTTCTCCTTTAACAAATACAACCTCCGACCTTTAACAGATATCCTGGATGTTTACAGTGGCCTGGGCCAGTGATGACTGCACTTAAAAGTACAGTGAAGGTAAAGACAGAGGTCATACTTGCAAAAGGTGAACCTTAAGCCTGGACATATTAGGAAAGTCAACGTGCTTTCAAAATACATTTCTCCTTTAAATAAATTATACTAAAATGGAAAAGGTAAAACTATGAAATTGTGAACTAAAAAATATACAGATGTAGCTATGGTAGTGCAAGGAAGCCAACATTCATCAAATGATTCCCATCTGATGCCAATAATTCAGTTCAACTTTGTTTGGGACTGCATCTTGGATAAGAAAGTGGAGAGTGGCACCTCTGTAAACCGACCTGCATAAATCCCCAGATGCCGACACAGGGGAAGCGGGGGGAAGCTTTTTGGAGGGGGAAGGACATTCAAGGTCGCTGTCCTCAATTGAACACAGCGGAGCTCTTGCTTCATGTGGATCTTCCTTGCCGGGGACATGGTCCTCAAACACATCATCATCCCCCATATCGTCAGAACCAAAGTCAGTGCTTCCCAGAAGCATACTAGAGTAGGTACCAGCATGGAGACTTCTAGAATAGACATCGTGCTCTTGGAACATATGCAAGCTATGAGCACTTGAACTCGGGGAAAAGGAAAATAAGTAGTGCAGCAAGGTTTTGCTTTTTGAGGATTCACTGTCTGCCTTATCGTCCATAAGAGGTATGCATACAGATCCAAGGCTAGCATCCAGACTAGGAATATGCAATGGGTTAGATGAGACGGAGTGACCACAAATGACATTAGAGCCGTTTAAAGCAACAGGGCTAGGAATATTAGTTCCTTTTTCTAGCAACTTAAATTTGTTCTTTGAAAAATGGTCTTCCACAGGCAGCAATTTCCCCTCTGAGCTAGTTCTTTCCACAAAATCACACTCCTTGGCCGCATCCACGGCTTTCTGGTCCACATCATTCAACGATTTAGAGAAAGGAAAGGCAGATCTGGCCTTACAAGGCTTGATGATGTTGTCATAGCTCCTCAGATTGGCAGGGTCCTTCGTGTAATCATCTTGACAAATTATGGTCACAGTGACCCCTGGTGATCTAGAACTCTGGGATTTGGGTTTTTTCAACACAACAGCAGACTGCACTGGACTTTGGTGACAACATTCAGAAAATACAGCACTGGAACTGCATGCAGAACAGTGAAAAAAGCATAGAAAGTAAAAAAGGAATGGCAAGAGAAGATCATTGTGTTAGAAACATGACAGAAAAAACACAGACAACATGGTATCATGGTATGGAACAGGATGAACAACACGTAACTAACTCTACCCAAGTGGTCTTTTAAAAATAAAAAAGTTTTATTACAGTAATAAAAACATAATAACCAAATTTGGTACCTGCAGATATCTTGACTTGAGGGAGTCACTGATGTCCGATGAAAGCTATTTGGTGCTGTAACTGAAGTTGGGCTTCCTGCCTGGAAAAAAAAATTAAAGACATAATTACAAACAAGAATTTAAATTCTCAGCATTAAATTAGACCTTGTATATAATTCAATTCTGAAAGTATAACCTTCATTGTTTCCTCAGCTTTGTAGTAAAATGTGTGAAAACATTGCCTGTGTTATGTTCTAATATAAAGGTATAAAGGGCATGGTCCATTGCACTGCATGTTAATGGCAACTTGACATGTATCCAGGCACAATTAATATGACAGCAAGACATCTTGGTCTGATGTTTATATGATATGCAACATCAGCAATCTTCTTCAAAGCTCCATATGAATGGGCAAAGAGTGGCAGAGACAGCTGTCCATGAGGCAGCAGGGTAGATCCCGAAAATAGCTCGCTATATGCTGAGTTTTGGGTCACAGGAGGACATTAGTAAATATCCTTCTGTGACCCTAAAGAGAAGTACGGCAAAAAAAGTTTGGCCATAGTTCTCTTTAAACTCTTGCAGTAGGGCTACCCCTGCACTGCAAGGGTTAACTGCTGGTTTTTGTCTAGGTTCTTAAAAAAAAGTCTAAGGTCCCGGTCTGTAAATCATCAGGTTCCATACACTATTTCAATGCTGTAGCGTAAGAGGAGACAGGATTCAGAGACTGGAGAAGCAGGGAGCTGACTCAGTAGTTTGGGTGAGTATAACTTATTTTGTTTAAGCACCTAGACAAAAATGAGTAGTTAATCCTTGCAGTTTAGAGGTAGCCCAATTGCAAAGGTTTAAAGGAGAACTATGAGATGAGTGATTTCCACTCACCTCATAGTTCTAAGCCGACCTGTGACAATGAGACTGTCACAGGTCGGCTCAGTAGATCGGGAGGTGAGCGAACACATACCGGGTTCCCTCACCTCTCGATCCTGTCACGGCTCTCTACCGTGACAGGGGGAGGGGCTGGATTCCCCTCTCCCCGCTCCGATCTGCCAGCGCTGACTGGCGGAACGGACGGGGGAGGGGGCGGGTACAGCTGGCTCTGCCTCTAGATAGGCAGAGCCAGCTGTCACTCACGCAGCTGGGCGGATCCCGTCATCTACGTCGGGATCCGCTCCATGTGCGGCGTCTCAGTATACCGCGAGCTGTAGCTGTAGCTGTAGCTCGCGGTATACTGAGCTTAGGGTGACGGGAGGACGCTAGTTTGTGTCCTCCCGTTACCCTAAGGAGAACTATGGGGGAAAACACTGACACCATAGTTCTCCTTTAAGAAAAGTTTTGCCCAGACTTCTTTAATGTTTGTATAATGCAAGGTTCTCTTTAAAGTGACACTAAACTCAGGAGTTAAAACTTAAAAATGCATTCAAGTACCTTAACTATTAACAAAAAAGCAGCTTATTTGTGTATTACTCAGCTGTAGATCCTCAAATCATCTCTGTATTGGTGCTGACACTGTCCTTTCTTCTGGATGGTGGCTACTTTTGTTCCCCATAGTCCCTGTGTGTGTTATAAAGTAGACACCGCTCCAAGCTCACTCCCGGTGATAGACTACAATCTCAATACAAATTAATAAACTATATGTGACATTACAGTCCATCGCAGGAGCGAGTTTGGAGCGGTGGCTACTTTACAACACATACAGGGACCATGAGGAACAGGAAGTCACCGCTGTATTCCTTTAAGTTGAACTAAAGGATAGAAGTCCCTGTTGTAAGCACCAAATGCTATTGCAAGCCCAAATATTACAATTTTATAGTAGCAGTGACATCAACACTGGGCTGTACTTAGCCTGTGCAGAGAGCATAGCAGTGGGAGAGACCCAGCAGGTCCCACCCACAACAGGCTGGACTATGGGAGGAGGCAGATACGAGACCAGTCACCCTGCACAAAGAGAGCAGCATTGACCAGTCAATATGACAGGAAGCTTCTACATAAAATGTTCAATGCTTAATTACTGCACAGATCTGGAAGAAATACACAAAACACATCAAGATTCAAGTAAGAATACACGTCTCTCATTTAAACAATCTTTAGCTTTAATCGTGGCAGAGAAAGTGTCAAAATGCTGTACAAACTGTTGGTGATATATAAATTAGGGATGCACCAATACCGATACTTGTATTGTGCCGATACCGAGTATTTGGGCGAGTGCTCGTACTTGCCCAAATACTCTTGATACTTATCCCGATACCGGAACTTCCGGTCACCAAGCCGGCCAAACAGAATGGAGCCGGGCCGTGGGTAATGACTCGCGGTCCAGCTTTCTCATTGGCCGGGAAGCTGGCTACATTCTGTTTCTCCGGCTCGATGCTGATTGGCCCGGAAGTCAATTAAAGCCTGTGATGTTTAGTCCAACAGCAATCGCCCACAAACAAATTATGTTTTTGAATAATGTTTTCAAAATCTCTGTTTTCAAAATCTCTAATTTACTCAGTTATTTCCAGAAGTAGCCCTTTCTACAAAAATAGCTCGACTGACCATCCGCTCAAAGTATAGCCTACCGTAACCATTTTGGAACAACCCTTCCCATGGTATGTACATTATTTTACACAAATTTTCCATGTGTTGTCTCTCTATTCTATTAGGCTATTCCAGCTCCCCCAGTCCCCTACTTGTTTCACTTCAATGAAAGGATTGAGCATGAAAGAGGTATCCTTATCAGCTAACCTGAGGCCGGTCAAAATTAAGACCGATATAATATAGGTATTAATATTATACAGGATTGATAGTGTCAACAGTTTGCGATATAAGAAGATATTACAGTTACAATATCAAGACAAGGTGGTTAGGAGGGCCTTGCTCGTGAGAGCTTACAATCTAAAATGAAAGGGCAAGTGATACAAAAGGTGGTAGCTGTGTGGGAATGGATTGCTTGAGAAACTGATAGTTCGGTGGTTAGGTTAAGGCAGGATAGGCTTCCCTGAAGAGATGAGTTTTCAGGGATCGTCTAAAGGCAGACAGAGTAGGAGATAGATGGGAAGGTTGGGGTAAAGGACTTGCAGAGAATGGGAAAGACTCTAGAGAAGTCCTGGAGACAAGCATGGGAGGAGTTGACGAGGGAGCTAGAAAGTAGGAGGTCTTGGGAGGAGCAGAGAGGACGTCTAGGGTGATACTTTGAGATGAGGTTGGAGATATAGCCAGGGGCAGAGTGGTGGATGACTTTGTAAGTTGTTAATATTTTGAATTGTATCCTTTGGGTAATTGAAAATCAGTGGAAGGATTGGCAGAAGGGGGTTGCAGACACTGTTGGTTTGGTGGATGAGGCTAGCAGCAGCATTCATGATAGACTGAAGGGGGGAGGTATGTACAAAGCATGTCCCAAAATGCACACCAAAGGACAGACCTCCACACAAGTCTGGCAAACTAGTCTATATATAGAGGAAGCTCTGTAAACAGCCATGCCTGGCTACTGAAAAATGTCCTAACTAGCAACAAGCTGATTGATGAATAATTTAAAGCACAAGTGCATTCTTCATAAACAATTGAAATGCTGTAATATTGTTTATTTCATAATAGTGACAGAATTCTTGCAAAAATAGGTCATTAAAAATGCATTATATCTGGTACTTCTAAACTCAGTTGCTCGCAGAATTTGTTACTTATCACCATGTAGCAAACTTGTTCAGAAAATCGGCATGTTTACTCGACTCTCCGTCAAAGCCAAACCCAGACAGGGATTCACAGCTTCTTTTAATGTTAGGAGACAAGCAAATCGAGCAAGCAGAGTGACTCAGGACTGTATGTTAATGGGTTGTCTTGGCAACGTATGATTTTAGAGAAGGCGGGAGAACACAGCTATTTTTTCCCCCCTTTTTTGACGGCTCTGGTATTCACTGAGTTCTACCAACTGATGATTTTCTCCAGCGTTAGCCAATATTGAATGTACTAATTGTATTAAATGTCAAGACACAATGTTTTAGGTTACACTGCAGAAGATCACACTGCTCTTTTGCTGCTTCATAGAACAGGGTGTCCAAAATATATTTAAACAAAGATGGGTACCAAGTTATTTTAAGTACAATAGCACAGAACTTGCCATGTTCTTATTGGGTAGCTTTAGAACGGTTTGTTTTGATCAATTTGCCAATGTCAAACTGGACCTTTTTAGCATATGAACTGTGTCTGATCTGCATATGTATGTAGCTGATACAGCTCTAGCCATAAACACTATCCTAATAATACTCAGAGGCTGGGAAAGGCTTTGAAATCCTTTTTTAAGTAAACATCTTTATTTCAGATACACCTATGCTGGCAGCAAGCAATTGAGAGCGAGATTCATTTACAGATGGCTCCATGAAAATGATGCCCCCTTCTTCTCATGAGTACAACTGACAAATGGAGGGAACCTTAGCAAGACTTTACTTCCCATATACTAAAAAAACAGAGTTTTCAGACAGGCATGTGTTGACAGGCTTTTGTCTGCATCAGAACAGCGTATCTACACATACAAGTCAATAGGAATGAAAAAGCAGTTTTGAAGTAGGTTGATGCAGTTTAGAAGGCGGTAAACTGCAGGTCAAATGCACCGGTCAATGAACTGTGAATGGTCTTAGAAGTACCTCAAACTGGTGTCAAATGCAAATTTAATGCACCTAAAAGACCATTGCTTTTGCCCATTGACACAAGCCTATAAATTCGAGGGAGACTTCAGCCTCGACACATCACACAACAAGTCTTTAATCACCTACTGAGACTTAAACTAGCTTAAACAAAACGAGAACACTTCATGCCTTTTTGATTCTTGGGGTTGAACAATCAACACTCAAGACTACACCTTCTCCAACATGCCATGTGGCTGCTGACAGCCAAGTATCCAGAAAATTCCTATCAGGGTCTGATATCATCAAAGCAGGAAAAACATCTCCTAATGTGACGTTGTCGGGAAGATATTTGCACATCTATGGTCCCCCACAAGGAACAAAACCACTATAATTGCCACATAATGAACTGTGCCAAATGAGAAACTGAACACAGTTCATATTTAGTATTCCATGTCTGTATAAAATTTTAGAGCCATTTAAAGCCACTTGAGTTCAGCGAGATGTTCAAT